GTTGCGTCACGAGATTGGCAGCAGCCGTTATTTATGATTGCCTTGTCATCCGTTCATTATCACTGTCCGGTATATAGTTCATCTTGAAACACTAAGGTCCCTACACGATCATTGCCAACCGAACATCTACCACAAGGGAGATGATGAATACTGCGTAGGCCTGATTATAATAGTACGGTCGCAGATCCAGCATTTTTCCGGCCGCGTACGATCGTATTTAATTAATGCACGTTTGGGCTGAGGTGTCAACGTTCTCAGGTGTCCGGTCTGGCCTTTTGCATTTGATTTCTAGGGCCCTCCAAGTGACTTCTTAAAACATGTAACAGTTGGTGGACACCAGCATTGCGATGTTAGAAAATGAACGTCCGAGGACGCGCGTGAGCCGCAGCACAGCACGAGTGCATCCGGATACTCTCTCGCCAGTCTCAAGTTACAACACGCACATCACGGGCAGCCACCTGTGCTCAAGCTGTCCCCTTTTGACCTGAAGGTCCGGAGTCTTAAGCCAGTCCGCAGAGCACAAATATGCAGCGGACCATACTCCCCGACGCCGCGATAAGCCACGCAGGTCCAACGTACAAGTGCCCACTTGCATAGGAGAGAGGCGCACCTCCTCATCAGCGGAGGTATGTTTCTCATTCTCTCGCTCTGGCCCGATGGAGACTCGCAGGGGACTTCATATCGGACCACCGCGTACGGAGCGCGCGGCGCTGCATGCTTGGGCTCCTCCGCGTCTGAGTCCATCGCTGCGTCACAGGTGCACTATGCACGTGCGGCCGGTGGCCGGAGTTCCCCGTAGCTGCGTCGAGTTTACACGGACGGACTTCACGGCCTTGGCCCCACGTGCAGTCGTCGCCGCGTCCAACCTGTCCAGCCAGAACTCCTCGGCCCTATGTGCAGTCCACTCCTTTAAGACTCGCCGGGCTGAACTGTCGCTGAGTTAAGTCAAACCCGCCGGGCTGAACTGTCGCTGAGTTAAGTCAACCCCGCCGGGCTAAACTGTCGCTGAGTTCAGTCAACCCCGCCGGGCTAAACTGCCGCTGAGCTCAGTCCACTCCGCCGGGGTAGAATAAACTGTAATCAACCCATCACGCCGGGATCGACTGTTGCTGAGCCCAGTCCATTCCACCGGATGAACCGCCACGTCTAGTCTTGTGCTAGCCGTCGGAGTCGACTGCCGCTGAGCCCAGTCTGAGCCGAGCCCCTTGACTCTGCGTGCAGTCCTCTCCCTGGTGCCCACCCCCGGAAGCCCTCCGCCGCTGCGCTCGACCCGCTCGTATCCTCTTTCACCGGAGGGTGGGCAATGTTGCGCTGTCTGTAAACACGGGTAGTGGGCAGCCGGCAGGGCGCGGGGCTGACACGGTGCGTTTGGATCCAGCCCGGCCGCTGTACCCTGAGCCAAAGCCGGGTCCGACCGGAAACGGCCACGGAGCGAGGTCAGCCCCGCCGGCGGCCCTCTTGGCGTTGCAGGAGGCGGAGGCAGGGAGCGTTACTCTCAGCTTAGCTGTGTGCTAAATCACATGAAAAACACACGCATCGCCGTGCTTAGAGTACTCTCCTGGCTTCCATCTACTAACCCATCTACTGCTGGTGAGGAGTTAAGAAAATAACGTGATCTCGTGTACGGTAGGTGCATTTGGAATTGGAGGGGGGGGGGGGGGGGCAAAGCATAGCGTACTTCAAAGACTCCCACTATGCCAGAAGATCGATTCCAGACTAGTTACATTTTTGCCTGATGATCTGGTGTTATGACGCTGCAGTCGCTTGCCAGTGTGACCCCCAACAAACGTGCCTAAATGTGGGACATTCATGGATAAATCTGAACCCTCAATTTAACAGATGAACCTCAAGTATAACATATTTATGTCTCAGAATTGCTTGAAACTTATCGCATCGAGTCATCTGGATGCATCATTTTTTTGACAGTTTGAGCCCAGCTGGGTCACAGGGGTAAGTTGTGAAAATCATGTCATGAAGTCAAATCAGCTCTCTTCATCTTAGGATTTTGGAATCACTTCATATTCACAAAAAAGCATTGAAAATTATGCAGTCTGCAAATCCTGTACAAACTATAAGGTAGCATTTTATACGGAGTCAAAAAAATCTTTCCTCGCGCAATATTTGTATTTTTGGGTTGTCTCGTTTGCGCGCAGAAAGGTCCTTTTGAGTTGTGTGAACTGTGACCGTTGCCATGTATAGCGATGCCTGTTAAATGCACTTATATTTCATTGCACCTTTCTGCCATAATACCCTTGTCTTGATGATGATGCGAATGTATCGAAATGCCGACAGTTGCATAAATATGATTACCATCGCTGTCCTTGTCATCAAGTTTTCACTGCCTACACACACACACACACACACATATATATATATACATATATATATATATATATATATATATATATATATATATATATATATATATATATTGAGATGTTTGAGAACTAGGCCCTTATACTCGCCCAACCGATGGAAGTTGGCGAATAGCTCAGCACATGCTAGGCCAATACCTTCGATGGTTGTGTCGCTAGGTCAAGTTTTGAAGAAGTAAATAAAGCCTGGCCTCAGCATACGTCAATGGTGTAGACACAATGCTCGGCATCGAACAGCGCGCTTGAGGACAGGTGATCACGGTGCGTCAATCTTGAAACGATGACAGGATAAAGATGCCGCACGGCCAGCATGCCCGCTGATAGAAGGGTGCATACTGTCGGGTCGGAACTTGTACTTTGAGCCCGGGTTCTAAGGCCGCGAGGCTCCCAGCCAATACGAAGCATTTACTGTGCACGTGAAGCTCAGAGACCAGGAGCTGGAGCAGTGATGTGACCAGCGCTAGCCTGGTGACAGCTGGCCACCTAAACGCCACGGACATGCAACAATGTTACACTAGTGTCAAAACGCCAAACTTTTCCGATGCAACCTGACTGCCATCTACCGGCCGCAATGTGAGCTGACTGCACCGAGGCGTGCGACTACCAGCTGTCTGCCACAGTGCGGTGATATACACGCCTCGTGATCAGGCCAGCTGCGGGAACAGACCAGCTCAGAGCCCAGGCCAATTCCAGACTCACGCCAGTTTCCAGCTTCAGCCAGCTCCAGCTCAAGCCAGCTCCCAGCCTATGTTAGCCCCCAGCTCAGGCCAGCTCCCAGTTCAGGCCAACTCCAGACTCACGCCAGTTTCCAGCTCAAGCCAGCTCCAGCTCAAGCCAGCTCCCAGATTATGTTAGCCCCCAGCTCAGGCCAGCTTCCAGTTCAGGCCAACTCCAGACTCACGCCAGTTTCCAGCTCCAGCCAGCTCCAGCTCAAGCCAGCTCCCAGCCTTTGTTAGCCCCCAGCTCAGGCCAGCTCCCAGTTCAGGCCAACTCCAGATTCACGCCAGTCTCCAGCTCCAGCCAGGTCTAGCTCAGGCGAGCTCCCAGCTTATGTTAGCCCCCAGCGCAGGCCAGCTCCCAGTTCAGGCCAACTCTAGACTCAGGCCAGCTCCCAGCTCCGGCCAGCCCCAGCTCAGACCAGCTCCCAGCTCAGACCAGCTCCCAGTTAAGGCCACCTCCGAGCCCAGGCCAGCTTCCAGCTCCGGCCAGCCCCAGCTCAGTCCCGCTCCAGCTCCGAGCTCCGGCCAGCCTCGGGCCTGCGCCGGCCCCTGCCGCTCTCTGTATCGGGAGCGGCAGCACAGTGACACACCAACTCCGGGCCGGCGCCGAGTAAGTTCAGCGCCGGACGCCGGTCGACGGACCCCACGCCACTCGCGTCGTTTGTCTCCATTGCGACAGCGGCGCCGGGACAGATCTGTTTACGATGCGTTTCCTCAATTCCGGCCACTGCAAGAGAGGCGGTGACGTCACGTGTCCTTCCGTCGTTGTGATGTGGTGACGTCATTCGACCTTTGGCGGCTCACGACCGCTGCGTTTCCAGCAGCTCAGGCTCACAGCAGTTCAGGTGCAGTTCGGGCCCGTGGTACCCCTCTGCTCCGGCGGAATGTGATGGGATGTAGGAAACCGTGGTCAGCATTCACGGATTGATACAATTTCTTTGGGCACAAGCTCGAGCTCACCGGAGGAGGACCTCCTAGCCCGCTTCCTCCATTATGCGGCTTGGATCAGTGCAGCAAACACACCAATACCTGCACGTGCTGGTAGCCCAACAACTTGTGTCTATTCAGTCACTTTGCGATGTGTACTCATGGTCAAGAAAAACACGAGAGGTAATATGGTCAGTGTTCGGTCTTTGATGTGTCTAAAAGCTGCTTGTTGTAATCAAAAATTTCGGTTCGGTCTAGAGGTAAAATAAGGGTCTGTCTTGCTTAAATGCATTTATTTGATTTATCGAGATGTAAAGCAATCCGTAGCAAACCCTGCCGTGTTTATTTAAGTGGACATGTAATTATAAATAAATCGCCCATGCCGGTCATGCCATGTCTTGGTGCGGGACTCTTCTTGAGTTTCAATAAATACGGAAAGCCAATTAAGAGCAATCCGCGTGGAGCACAGTGAATGTCACTGGTGTTGGCGCCATCGGTGAGATAGCGTTTTGCACGAAAAAAAGCGCATGCCTTTGTGTGCGTTTCAACATGGTGTGCTGCTCCCACTGTTTGGCATTTATGCATCTGTTAGTTGGGTCCTAGATCCCAATATCGATATAATTTGCGTCACGATCATTGCAGTCAACCTCTGCACACGCGGCGCTTGCTGCGTCCCAAGATCTATCTGCCTCAGTCCTGCCTGCGTGAGGCTTGCCTCTCCGCCGGCCTGTGGACCACAAGCTCGTCGTCCCAGCGACGCTTTCCCCAGCAGACTGTTTCCTCTGCTGTCTCCACCAGATCCGTGCTTTGCAGCGTCTGCCGGCGCCCGTGGCCGGCTGCGAACAGCGGTGATCTCTCCAGCGGACCGCGACCGTCCGGCACCGTCGGCATGAGCTCCAGCACCGGGGATGATCTGTCGCCCAAGGCGCTGATGACTGCCACCAGCGGCAGCTCGCCGCTCTCTGACGGCGGCCTCCTCACAGCCTACAACTGCAAGCTGTACAAGCGACGCTGGCCCATACTGCTCCTCTTCGTGCTGTACTCGACCTCCAACGCCTTCCAGTGGATCCAGTACTCCATCATCAACAATGTCATCGTCCGCTACTACGACGTGACGTCGTTTTCCGTAGATTGGACGTCGATGATCTACATGGTGTTGTACATTCCACTCATCTTTCCAGCCGCGTGGATCCTCGACAAAAAGGTCAGAAGCGATGTGGAGATGAGAGAGGCAAGTTTGCAATGTATTTTAGCGTGACATTCTGAAATGGCGCTGGCGATAGCGGGCTTTACATTTGTTTGGATATTTCAAACGCTCTACGTGCTGCGGCTGCAGACCACTGTGATTGCTCCGATGGGTGGTGATTGTTGTTGGCAGCTCTAGATGAGCAAGCTTCCTGCACCGCCTGTGCTCCAGTAATCGCACCACGAGTTCACTTGGCGATGGGCTTTTGGTCTTGTTGAGACGTCACTGCATGAATGGGGTTTAGGCCTGCGCGTTTGCTGACCCGACTGCCGGCGTTCTGTCCATCAGGGCCTGCGTGTAGCTGTCATGCTGGGTTCCTTCGGCACCATGCTGGGGTCCTGGATTAAAGTGGGCAGCCTCTCGCCCGACCGCTTCTACGTCACCTTTATCGGCCAGACGGTGTCGGCCGCATCTCAGATCTTCATCCTCGGCATCCCGGCCAAGCTGGCTGCCGTGTGGTTCGGACCCGGCCAGGTGTCTTCTGCCTGCGCTATTGGTGTCTTCGGGAATCAGGTCAGATTTAGTGGCTTACCTCCAGACCGGGCTTTTTGGTGTTCATGTGAATGCGACCGCAGACATTCCCCGCTTATATCAACTATTGGCGGCTGACTCGTTGCTTCGTGTCCTGAAATGGAGCTAAGTGTTACACGATTTCTAAATGCTGACGGGGAAGGGCTCTGTGTGAGAGCTCCGCAGCGAAAAATGTTCAGGCATTGAACTTGGCTGTTATGGATGCATTCTTCAGCCGGCTGAAGTAAACGTGAAATCGCTTTCAAATGCAAGGATAACAGAACCGATCTGGCATGCTCGTTTATGCAAGATGACGTACAAGCACACGGAAAAGGAGTGTGCATACTCCGATGTGATGAAATATGCATGCACCCTGGTATCAGGAATGAAAATATTTATATCCGCTGAAATTCTTCTTTATACGGTGTCTATGTTGATTGGCCTGTACGCTGTTAAGTTGCGATTTGTAGCTTATATGCATGCAATGCGTGCCAAATTCAGGCAAAGCCAAAGCCCAAGAATGTATTGGCTGGTGGAAAACAAGGAAAGGTTGTCGACGCCATGGTTTATTGGTGTGCCAACCGTCACACACCCACACACGCCTTACATCGCCACTAAGTCCGCTATCTTGCCATGCCAATTATGACCCGCAGTGCGAAACCATGCGGGAGAAGTGTTGTTCAGTGGACAATTCAGCGCCTCTTCAGAACGTTCTGATGAGGTCAACGCAACGGTGCTGAAGTTTCCAAACTCTGACTGTGTTTCTCCGCCTATTAAGTCTTCGATGTCAGCTTTGCGACATTCGGGTCTCTCGGCTTTTGACCTGCAAACTCTTTCCGATTACCGAGATAATTGTACTTTAGACCATTCATAATTTTCATTACAATTTGCAGCTGGAGTGCGGTTTGACATCGCCATAAAATGTGTACTGCTTTGACCGATATAAAACGCTTACATCACTACACTTTATTTAAAATGTTTACATTGCCCACCGTATAACATCGCTGCACTGTGGCGCAAGCTCTCGATGAGCATGATCAGCACACAGTCACCTACAATCGCGACCTGGGTCTGCATCCTGACCCCCACCTTGTTACCCGGTCTGCAAGGCCATGTCCCTGGTGCTTGTCCTGCTCTTGGTGGGTGGCGGCACAGGCGCGTCCTGACACCGGGCGCCCGCCGGCAGCTGGGATGTGCCCTCGGCTTTCTGGTGCCACCCTCGATCGTCAAGAACAGAGCGAACCTGGACGACATCACCCACGACCTCTCCATCATGTTCTACGGCCAGGCGGCGATCACCACGGTGTTATTCCTCACCATCGCGTTTGGTGAGTTCCCACAGCACGGCTCTGGTCTGCCGGTCAGGCTGACCAGGTCCCGCGTGCGGTGGATGGTGAACTGGCTGTAGAACATGCACACCTTTAACAGGGCTTGCTCATGTGCTCGCTGTCACCGTCACAAAGCGTGCAATGTCGTGACTTGCTGTTTTGGGGATATGCGTGACCCTGTAAGAGTGTCTTCGACGCCAACGATTGTAAATTGGTTTCATTTTCCCTGAACCAGGCACCAGATTCATCCGAGACCCAGGTAAAGCCTCTATGAAATCCATCGTCTGACTGCGTGATTCTTTAAGTACACGGGCCCTGCTCAAGAGTGAGCCGTTTCGTGCTATTTCTCCGGGCTGTTATATCGTGGTGTTTGTCAGCACAACATGCCGTCAATTCGTGCGTGTAACTCGCTGGCGCCTTATCTCCCATAGGTCCCGTAACGTAGTCTGCGTAAGTGTTTCGCTTTTATGTGTTTCGAACTTGATATCTGTGTGTGATACATTTTGCTAGCTACTGCATCTGCCGGTAAGTATTGTGCGCCCGAGCCAGCATGCTCTTTTGTTGGCCATGTTCACACACCGTTCCGTGCACTTCTGCACACGTTTGCACATTTATTTAGACCGTGCACCGTAGTAGGTTCACCAGCACCTTTTGGCTACCAGTATGTGTACCTGCTATAAAAGATACATTCTGACGTTCCCTTGGAACACGACCTCTTATGTGCCGTCGATCACGATGGGCTATATGCGCACTGTTGTCACAAGTCCGTATAAGACGGGGACGCCAAGCATGACGCTTGTCTGAGACTCGCATAGTAATTCACCACGCTGCCGCGTGTGCTTTACACGCTGCAATCTGTCATGGCCGCTGACCTTCTTCGGTCACAACGTTTAAAACTATGTTCACGCCCCGGGATATGATCAACGGCAAGCGAAAGTATGCCCAAAACCTATCCCCGCACACGTTCTACGGGTATTACGACATTGGCAGCTTCATTTATCGTGGACCTCCAAACAAGGTTAAGGCTCAGATAATTTAATGTTAGTGTCCACCTTCACGCATCTCCAGGTGCCGTTTGGCTTGCTGTCATAGCGTCAAAGAAAACTCCTAGCAAAAAGAATGCTGCTGAATGAGTCAGAACAGTACGCCGTAACTTACTACATCGTTCACTCCATAACGTTTTGCGGTAAGCCCAATTCCTGTGAAGTTAATTCGCAAGGCCATACATCAAGCTGAAGGAGGGAGGCGTCAGTCTGTGCCTCCCTCCCGCGCCTCTGCCCCCCCCCCCCCCCTCCCCTGCGTATCATGCCGCTCAGTCCTTCATTCCAAACAGTATTGCTTAAGGTGGTGTTGAGTCCATTCGTAAAGTGCGGGCTTTGATTTTGATGAAGTGATGTCATGTTCGATTTCAGAACGGTGCTGGTCACTTCAGATAATGACTAGGGGTCAGCAGTACATGAATAAACAGACTCGTTGATGGCTCCAGTTCTCGATCTGTTGGTGCTCGGAGTTGATAAACACCAGTTCATCTGGGAAAATGCAAGTTACAGCATATGTGCATCAAATGCTTGCCATGCCCATATACGTCAACTGCCCTTCTAAATCGATAGCTTTGACCTGTTTGGAAAAGCCTCTTATTTTAACACTTGTGAACAATACAGCTCACATCAATCTCCGCAGGAGCGGGGTCAGCGGGGCTATGCCAGCATCTGTAAGCATGCGGGAGCTCACTCAGGGGCATGCGCAGGGAGGACGCGGGGGTACACGACTCCCACCCACTCCCTCCCCCACCAACACCCCTTAGATCGCGCGGGGACTGCAGGACCCTTGGGGCCGACGACCAAAAGCCCCATTGAACAGACTGAAGGGCCTGAGGGACTGGTCGGAGGTTGTGTTAGGGGGCAGACTGGCCCGCAGGACTAGGGCTCCTTGCTCAACAGGGAGAGGGACGGAACCCAGGATGTTAGGCCAGAATGAGTCCTTGCACAGGTCAGAGTGGACATTCTAGGTTTACATAATATCTTTATGGCTCAGAATGGTCCCTTAACATATCAGAATGGGTCTTCCACAGGCCCTCCAAGTTGGAGGTCGGCTCCCTCGTTCTTGCCCGCGCCGCGGTGGCGGTCCGGTCGCTGCCCTCCCCCCGCACCTTTGTTCGCCAGCGCGTCCCGACGTCGGTGGCCGCGACGGTTTGCAGCTGCCAGCCTTCCTGCCTACGGAAAGACTTGGCGAAAGACTGCTAGACTGGCGCAGAGGGCGTAGTGGCCCCGTGCGGCCTCGTCGTGGCACCGCCTGCCACCGACTGTTGTGGTTTCCCGGAGCCGGGCCGTGTTCATGTCTGCACGCTTCACCAACCTGGCACGGATAATGGCGTCTACTCGTGAGCACTCTTGTCACATTTCTGGTGTGAATTTGTCGCCATGACATTTTTTTACTGCACAACAGCAAGCCCGTTGGCTTGAATCGAAAATTAAGTCATAGATATTCGTAATGAATACATGGAAATGACGGTCATGGCGGAGAGAGTCACGGTCCGGAGCTCTGCTGTAGCAAGCTGTGATCACACGGGGTAATTTGTAAACTCCTGGACAGATGGCAGCAAAAGTGGTAAAAATTCCTGTCAGGGGTCTGCGAGCCGTCGCCCGTCGCCGCACGACCTGTAGAAACAGCAATGCTGAGTATCGAAGTTTTTGCCTTTGCTCAAAACGCTTTTCACTGGTCGATGTTGAAGAAAGATTGGATATCCCCAGGCAAACATGGTTTGACCATATCACTACAAAATGCTTACTTCATTTCAATTAATGATCCACGTCCAAATTTATGGGGCCGCTCAATATCTCTGAAGAACTGTGAATTGGGCTTCATCGAAACCAAGTGAGCCAACATTGGTATTGTATTTTGGGGGGGAGGGGTTTTCATCAGCAGGGGGCCTTTGTCACCCCCGGGGTCTCCATCCCCTTGCTAAGACTGGCTGCGCCCCTGAGCTCGCAAGACGGCGTGCTGCCTTCCCAGTATGAGCTGTCCGGTCCGGCTGTGCAGCCGTGCTGCACGGTGGCATCCGTTCGCGAGCCCGCACTCCCTGATCTGGAGTCGGCGACTTTGGACCCTGCATGCCCCCTGGGGCGCGTCCAATCAGCATTGGACGCTGGTACCAAACATCACGCCATGCGATCGCCGCGTGACGCCGCGCCGCACCGCTCACAACCTGCGCGCCGCCAGGGCGAAGTGCGGACCAGCGGGGAGGGCTTCACGCCACGACCGCGTGGATCCGGGATCAAATCCTGCATGGATCGACTCTCAAAAAATATGCGATAAGTCCGGAAACATAGCAGAGGAGGCAAGTGGCTGTTTTGGCCGTATTGAAAGCAGCCGTCGGACCCGTGGGCCCCCACCTGACCCCACGCCATGCAGGTGCTGATGACAGAAGCCGAAATTGAATTGCCGCGCCATTTTCTTTTGTTTGACCATGCAAACGATAAAACTGAAGTTTTGCCGCAGTTACAGCTTTATTACCGTCGAAGGTAGGCACCTGAGTTCAATTCAAGAGGAAAGCTCTTGACTGATACATGCCAGTCGCTGTTGTGTAATAACGGCCCTCTTGGTCGTCAGATTCAAGATTAGACCCGATGCCCTCAAGCAACTCTTATAAGGTCGTGAGCATTGCTTGCGCTTAACATATGACCGCCGCATAGCTTTCGGACCACTAGACAACAAGATATATGTACAGCGCCAAACACGCGCTGTAGGGTGATGTTCTCCCTTTTTCGTCGTGCCGACCTTTAGCAACGTTGCTTACAGGTTTTTAGAGTTAAATCGTAGGGGAAATCTATTTTCACCCGAATTTCACCTAGCAGCTTCCAGTCTTCAGCTCATATCTTCAGATCCGGTGTGAATGGTGGGAAATTCAGGGAGCGAAGCTCTTGATGTACCGGGTGACTAGGGAATGTCACCATATTTTAGATGGAAGTTCGCTTCACCTGTGGCTCACAGGGGCGCAGCCAGAGCCTTGGCGAGGAGGGGAGAAGGCACAGGGTTGAGAAAGGGCCCCTGATATAGTCGAGTTGCCATCCTTATACTTCCTACATGAGACCCTGCAATGTCAAATACCGCGAATTTTTCGTGGAAATATGTTCTATGTAACTAGGAGATTCAAATTAGGCGCTAGTTGTGCAACTTTGATCGTTTTCGGAGTTCAAGACGGCCGTCGCCGCCATCTTTAATGTATTTTTCTGGTTGTCGCTGTTTCTCGGTGGCTTGGAGGACTCTGTGACACCTTTTTTGAAGGATTTCCTGTGGCAGGGAGCTCATTTCTCTTGATAGTCGGATTCGTTGGGGTCGTCGGGTCCGTTATGATCTCCGTTGCCCATGCCCTTCATCGTGGGATCCGTTGGGTCGCCCCGGCCCCTCTTCGGGCCTCATCAAACACTGTCTCCGTTCGGCTCAGGCCCTTTGTGAACATAGGACCACCTGTCAGGCACTGTGGGTGCATGACAGGTACAGGGGCCGCGACCAGTGGAAATCGCAGACGCCGGCTTTGTAGCTGATCGGGAAGTGGGGTCTGACGTTCGTACCGGCACGGAGTCGGCTGTGCAGTACGGGTGATGCCTGGCCGGCATGTATACTCTGATGAACTTAGGGCGTTCCGATCTGTGCGCAGGGCCCTCTGGCTGGCATTGGAGTGTCCGCCCCTTTGGACCGGGGCCCTTGCATACGCCAGCCCCAATTGTGAGCCCCGTCCAGTTATATGTGTGGCGTAAAGGAGCGCTGGAGTGGTCCCTCGGCGCCTTGACCCAGCTTTGCAATCACCAAAGGACACAACCGCGCCTTTCACATACGGTATGAGCCTGCGAGCCACATAGTTCCTGTTTCCAAAGACAGGTCAAATGGACTGATATCGTGGCAGACAAAGCACTCAGCTAAACTGACTTGCATTTAACCCGTACGTGTACACCGCACGCCTTACGAAGAGCATAAGCAGCAGTTTGTCTGTGGGGAGCTGGCCGACCTGGGCTGGCAGGCGCCGTGGTCGTGATCTCGTGCTGACCGGAACCCGACCCGGCCCGGCCTGGCCCGCAGTGTTCCAGAACGAGCCGAAGCTGCCGCCGTCGCCGGCGCAGGCCGCGCTGCGCCAGGCCGAGCCCGAACATTATCTTCTCAGCATCGTGCGCCTGCTGAAGAACCGGCACTACATTCTGCTGCTCGTCACTTACGGCATGAACGTCGGCGTGTTCTACGCCATCTCCACACTGCTCAACCAGGTCGTGCTCATCTATTACCCCGTGAGTTGGGCTCTGTTTCTAGAGCTTTGTTTGCATCTCGACTTTAGCCGTGGCCGTCGTTTTTGGTGAGCATCTCTGTCGTTGATTGGTTACCTTTCCCTAGCACGTCTATGGTGTAGCATTTATTCTATCGCGTGCAGATGGCCCGCAGCCTAAAGCGACACGATGACGCGAGTGTTGCAACTCACGAACCCATCCCCGTGCCCCCGTTGCGTCTGTCTCCAGGCGTCCAGTCCCCGCAGGCCGCGTCTACACCAGGCCGCTTCGCACATTCTAACCCGTCCGTTATTTTCGTGGCCGTCCACCAGAGGCCGTTCCCGGCAGGCCGCGCACATTGTCTCGCTGTCAGGGACTGTAGTGGGCGTGTGTCAGAGGCCGTCATTGAGCTGCCCCCAGCAGACCTCGTTCGGTGAGATATGGGTCCGCTGGGGGTTGGCGGTGGGAGCTGGGGCTGGCAGGCTAAACGTTGTGGGCGGCGAAAAAGCTTGTGCAACTGAGACTGCCCCGAGATAAATGGAGTCGCCCAGCGCCATCCATTGAAAGGCTGGCTGCCAACAGCTCGGCATAAGATGGCCTATGGTTGTAGCAGTAAAGGGCTCAGATATGGTCTTTTGAACGGCGCGGCAGAATTTCATGGCACTTTTCACGATCGGTCACCATGGGAAATTAAGGGCATAGGCTGTGCGGGCAGCGCTCCGAGCAGAACGCGGGCGCCATCTTCTCCTGCCTGCCCCTGGTGAGTGCCTTATCAGCCCCGGGGGCATTCCGCCACAGAACGCCCGGAGCATCACGCCCTGATCACTCCCATATATCAACTGATTTTTCTTAGAGTTATCTGGTGCTCTGAATTATTTAGCGAGCTTTTTAGCTCGATTTGTCTACTTTTTACACGTATACCCACATTTATTTTAGCCAGCGGTGCAGGATTTTTAACGGAAGGCATATTCTACAGCATCAGTGGCAGATCTAGGGGGCATGGAGGCCATAATTCCTTCTTTGGCCAAAGTGGCACCAAAATCTCATGACGAGTGGTCACCAAAAATCGTAATTTCAGGCCCAGAAAACCCTTTATTCTAAAGATGCACCGAATTACAGGGACAACACGAACTATCCCAAATTGTCATTTTCGAGTGGTACCAGGTTCCAGGAGAACCATAGTGGACCACAAACCTTCATTTTCAAGGAACACCGAATCCAGGGGCACAACAGCGCTGTGCCTCCCATCCTGACGAAATCTCAGACCGACCCCTTGGGGTGGTGTCACCAGAGCCTTGGTTTCGGGACAAAACATCCTCTATTTTTTTAAGAATCGCTGAATCCGAGTGAGCCTTTTCAAGGGTTACAACAGGGACACAAAAATGTTGTGTTCCAAAGTGTTGTGTTCCAAAAATTGACACAACCACTCTCATTTTAAAAGGGGATCAACATTAAATAGTGCCACAATTGTTATGACTTTCACCCCAATAAAATCCTAGATGTGTCCCTTCGACGAAGAGGCACTAAACCCCCTTTTTCCGGGCAACGCAACCTTTATTTTCCGGGGGCACCCAATTTCAGAGGTGACCACCAAGAGCCCCGATTCGGCATTCTTAGCGGGCTCCAAATTCCAGGCGACAGCAATATTGTGCCTCCCACTTCAATGTAATACAGGGTCGGCCACTTGCGCCCGGGGGCACTGAAACCTTCATTTCGGGTTACCATGGACTTGATTTTCAAGAGGCACTAAATCTAAGTGAGTCACTTAACACGCGTCGGGGTGGCCGGTAAACACCCTTTGTTCGGGTGGGGTTTAATTTGACCCCCTGAGATCTCAGAAACTAGGATAGCTAGAAACACCAAATTCACAGGGTGAACTGGTGTGTACGTGGATTCACTCGCGCCAAAGTTTGAAGTTCGTGGGTTATGACCTTAAGGTCAAAGAAGGCAAGACAGAATTAACCCTCAGATTGGTGTCCCAACTGCCTCCATACCTCCCCATGCAACCGCCGTAAAGCTGGGTATCTGTTCGAAGCAAAATTAAAAAGAGGTCAGTGACGTTTTTTGATCTTTGTAAGCTTAAGGTGACTAAATGCCTACAAAAATGTTTTTTTGTCGTTCGAATAAGCGCTAGAGGTCACGCTAGGCGGTGTTTCTTGAAACGAAATCTGGACCTGGGTCATTTTAGGTCAGTAACCTACTTTCACCGTTAATCAGCCCATGTAACATGTCTGCTGCGGTCCCTGTCACTTATAAATTCGAACTGAGCACCAGAAACTATCTCATGCAACCAGTCCCCCGAGAAAAAAAGCAGGCTAGTTTTAATCTCGGTCTGACCTTCATACCTGATTTAAGGCTAATGCGATAGGTTGCAATTCGAAATTTCATTGGTTTATTGCCTACAGAACTATCTCACACAGGTTTAGCTGATCCAACACTCCGTTGTTGCATCACATACAACGATTCTCTGGAAATGCCCTTCACTGACAGCTATAACCTGACTTTGAGATGCTATAGGTCAGTCCCCTTGCAAGATATATTTTTTCTATCCCAAAATCTGATAATTAATTTGCTATAGCTTGGCAAAGTTTGCTGCGGCTACGCCATGTTGTTCGGAAGTCATTCTAGATCGGCTCGTTCGACACAGGGGCGCCAAAAACCATCCATGCGGGGCACGATCATTTTTATTTTTAAGAGGCACCAAATTCCATTGACATCGCAAAGAGGCTAAAACATACATTTCCAAGAGGCAACTAATTCTGAGGGACAATGCGATGTCCATGCCTCATCTTCGACAACATATTGGATTCACCCATTTGGCAAGGGTTACGCAAACATTTAGTTCGAGGCATCATAACAAGGAGACGCTAAATTTGAAAGGGTCATGTGATCGACTCATACACCTTCTTTCTTAATTGACAACAAAATGCAGTGGCGCCAGAACCTCGCTATCTTCACCATGACGGTTCCTGGACCGGCCCCTTCGGCGAAGGGATACCAACACTTTTATTTAGGGGCATGATAACCTTCATCTTCAAGGCACGCCTAATTTCAGGGACGCCATAAACGATCCTAAAATGAGATTTCCACAATGAACCAAATTCCAAGAGCGATACTATCATGGGCGCACATAGCGGGGGAGGCGCAGGGACATGAGACCTCTCTTTGGTTCTGAGGTTCCGAAAGCCTCGAGGGGTTCAGAGAGGCCTCTCGGGGCCGGCGATCCAGTGTCCGATGGAAGGGTCTGAACGGCGGGTGGGAGGCCATATGAAGGCAGCACGGCGCGAAGGCCGGCTCCTAGAATACCAGTCTGAGATCCTCTTGCATCGATAGGGGTCCCATGGGACAGAGAGAGTCTCCAGATCAGTCAGTTGACTGAAACCACAATTCTGAGCAGTAAGCAGCCGGTTTCGTGCCGATCTGTGTCCTGGGGTACTTTCCCACGCAGGAACCAGGTCGGGATCTGCAAATGCCAATCAGAAAACCTCTTGCATTGGCCGACGCCTCTGAGACAGTGAAGGGCCCCTGTGCTGGTCGGGGTCAGCCCACAGTGGCTAACAGGGGGCCCTGTGTCGACAGTGGCCTTCCAAGTCGGCCAGGGAAACATTTGCTGAACAGGGACAGGGACGGGACAGCAAATGTCACAGGGCCTCCTGCGTTGGTGGGGCCCTCTTGACAGTGAACGGAGATATGATTAATGACACGACAAGGGTTTACACTCTCAATGAGACAGTGGAAGGACTGTGTTAGTCAGAGGCCCCAGTACCGAACGAGGGGCCCTCCGCACCGTTTCAATCAGGGGTCGGTGATCTGATTTGGTGTCCCGGCGCCAATTATTGGACTCCCTGCACCGGTAAGGGATCTTCCTGCGTCAGGTGAAGCCCCTGCATCGATCCGCTGCCAGATGCTCCGGTCAGAGGGCCTGTCGCATCAGGGAGCGGACCGGCGCGGTGTATGAGGTATTCCTTTGAGGATCTCCACATTACCCAGGGACTCAGTCCCCGTATCACCAGAATCGCAGCCGCTAGGTAGCCCGGACTGGAACGTAAGCGCATTACGGACGTATTCCAAAGAGGCAGCAAAGTGTGTCACCGGCAACACGAGCTCATACCTCATCGATTTTTTATAGGTACGAACAGGCATGTGACTAAAAGGCGATGAAAAGAAAATGAGATAGACACGTAAGAATAAGTAGGTTATTAGAATGCAGTATTGTTGCATCGCCGTACAAGACATTTTGCGCCGCAGTATTTCAGTAAAGACTTGTACTTTATCGAAATCCTGCATACGCTGCAGTGACTCTTACAACGCCGTCGATATCGTGAACCGAACGCATTGCGCGTTAATCTTCTCACTAGGAAATTCCTCTTGCTGCAAACCACAGAGCACGTTTGCTATTTTCTCTCCCGCCCACTGCTCTGCTCCGTCCAGTTTTGCAACACGATGATCACTTGACTTATGCTATTTACGTCTCGGATAGCGACAGAACTCTGCACATTATCTTCGCGCGACCCGGGGAAGGAGTCTGCGCTTTATTAGGCTGAGCGCGGATGACCAGCGTCTGGTTTGATGAAAGGAAAGCACGAATCCACCCGCTTTCAAACTGCGATGTGACTCTCCTTGCGCCGTATGGACACGATAGAGCAAAAATTGGTCTCGCCGAACGGGCACGCCAATGGTCCACAACGCAAAAAGATCTCAAGTAAAATAGAGTTGTTTCCAGCTGGCCTGCTTCTACGTCAGTCACAAGTTAAAATTGGTTGAATTCGTGTGTCATGGAACTAGGTTTAGGTCATCCACGTGACGTCATTTGTCGCGGTGCTGATCGGCGGGTCGGTGACATCCGGCTTGAGGCCGAACATGGCGGGCCGCAGCAGGCGGCTGCCGCATGGCGCGGGCCGCGACATCAGACACACACTGCGGGTCTACCTGACGGCATGCTCGACGCCTTAACACGCCTTTGTCGCGCTTGGCGGCTGCTCTACAGGACGGCACTGTGTGTCTCTTTGTGAGAGTCATAGCAATCCACCCTGCCCAAAATTTTGAGCTTAGTACACCCGCGTAGTCTTGAATGCGGGATTTTACCCCTAACGCTTTATCTGTTTTTTTTTTAATTACAGCTCAATAGGTTGCCAAAGCACGATATCTATTGAATAATTGTGCGCGTATCTTACATGTGACACCAGTAAGTTGCTGAACTCTTTTTTCGGAAAGTTCGTGCTCTTTTAATGCGAAGTGACGCGCAAACACCTCGTCTCATAAAGGTTAGTCGCGGCGCGTGTTTGCAGTTTGCGTGCCTGCGAGGGCGTACGTTTATCGCATTCCTTGTGCAGCTATGACTCTCTGTGCAGCATTAGTCTCGTATTGCGTCGTGCTGCGTAGGTTTCTTGGTCGAGACTACGGATATCTCGCGGGGCGGCGCCAAAAAAAGAAGATTTTTTGGGCGCACTACATACATGTTAAGTGAAATCAATGAAACCCTGAATGAAGCTTACAGTGCATGTCTGTGGGCGATAGGAATAATAAACAGACATCAGTTTTGGAAGTGTGCTGGTCATCCCACTGGCCCCCGAACCTGGGCCCGGACCTCAGACACTTACAAACCATCGATCCCGAGCCGGCGATGCCTAAACCTATTGATTACTGAACACCGATTTACCATATTTGCCTGCTTGACCCTGCTACTTGATGTCTAGTAACGCTATGGCGATACTTTGAATTTGCTTATTGCATTTTCAGAATCGTGTCAGTCATTGCTTTCTCGTCTTTTGTCGTGGTGAGCTGTTCACCGACCGCGGAAGCATATTTTCTTCGTCTTTAGGAGTACGGTTGCGTAGCGTCACCCTGGTTCAAGATATACAAATCCTGTCTGCTCACACCACCAGGTTACCATTCTGACAGCTGAGGAGATGAGCGATGCATTTAACGTTGAACGCTGGGCCATAATGCATTACAAAAGTTCGGAGGGTTAACTGAGAAGGATGGCTAACACCGTGCCCTCGCCCACACTCCATAGACAAAAATATGGGCCGTCGCCCATGTATGGAATGTTCCTGCCCTCCCATCCCTCTTATTTTCGTCCTGTCTCAGGTTATAGGTTTACGAAAGGATTGACACGAGGTATCAGTATCACGTATCAGGAATAATTGTTCAGACTATCATCCTCGTCTGGTGTGTCAGTATGCACACAACGTTTCATTACTTCATTTCCTTGGCTTAATTGATAAAGCACTGGAGTTGCAATCAGAATACCCTGGCTCAACTTCCAGAAATTTTGATGAGAGAGCTCTAGTGTTGACGAGTATGTGGCCGAAAGCCGAACATCATACAGTCCTGAAGTGCCCACAACACCCGACAACGGCCGGAGAGTTTAATGGCTGGGACGTTGTGTACAGACTAACACCCCAAACGAGGATTATAATCCGAACAATTATACCATCGTTTTCAGCTTTGTTAGATTGCTGATGCATTCAGCCTTCTGGGTAGACTGGTTGCATTTTATGTGCTTATTTCATCACAAATTTGGTCATCTAGTCAGCCTCATATACAGCTGTTTAGTACCGACGCCATCGCTGGATGGATGATGATTCGAACAATTTCTGTTTACTCAAGGAGACGTTTGCGTGACGTGAAGGCACCTAACGACTGAGAGGTATTATAACAGTCGTCCAACGTTGCGTCCATCAGTAATCTGCCCCGCATTTAACCCAGAGCGGTGGTCTGCGCTCTGCGACACAATCCAGGCGCACACGAAATTGGTCTGTTTGTTACTGCCCCAAGTGCTATTGCATGTTTGCCTCTGCGCTGTTTATTTTCGCAAGCTGCCAGCGGCCACACAAATAAATCTACCACATCAAGGGACTGGCCCGCCAAACGAACACCAGATGCCGTGTAGTGTCTTCTCAGTATTGCGGGTGGCGTAAATGCGGAGGAGTGTGTCTAGAGTGAAGGAGTGAGGCTTCAAGTAATATCCATCGACTTACCACTCAGCCATGTAAACAAATATGAAATTTGGTTCCATTTACCTGCGTAATGCACCTATCATCTAACCAAACACATTCATATACCCGTGACTCTCCTTCCCCTTTAGTCAGGACGCTTTATGCTGGCGTGTCTTGGCGCGTCTACAGGGGACGCGTCTTGCTCCTGTGCGCGGCTCCAGAACTGTCAGAGCGCACCCAAGCTGGTTGTCTGCTGCTGTTGTCTGCCAAGCTGTTTTAGCCAACCATGTTCCTCATATAGCCCTTTCATCCTTAGCCGAATATTATAGCCCTGTTCCAAATCATTTTGTATCCGTATATCATAGCCCTATTCCAAACTGATATTTATTATATCATTTCCATTATCAATGTAAGGTTCATAATTAATTCGTTCATTGAATTTCACGACTGATTTCCTCATTCCTCACACATAGACGATTTAAAAGCTGGATGTGCACTCGTGGCAGTTTGTAAGTGGAAGGCCACTACACCGCACGTGCTTGAAAATACTGATGCGCTGCAATGTTTGTGGCCAGTATCATCGCGAGAACTTGAATTGGTGACATAAGTACCTAGCTAATTTTTCGTAAATGTAGTTCCTGCCCATCCCATTGCGATAGCGTTGGCGATTTCATCCGACTTTTAGCCATATTTGGACATTTCATGACAGGTTTGCTGACTGCTGCCGTCCCATCCCAGTGCACAGCATAACAAAATGTTCCGTGCCATTTATAGATGTAAACAAATATTAAATTTGTAGTAGAACTCTTCATGTAGTGAGGATCGTGTCTCCTGTGCCAGCATTAGCTGGGGCCCCGTAGCCACTGGCGTCCGATGGTCAGCATCAGCATTAGCTGGGGTCCCGCAGCCGCTGGCGTCCGATGGTCAGCACCAGCATTAGCTGGGGCTCCGTATCCACTGGCGCCCGATGGTCAGCTCCAGCATTAGCTGGGGTCCCGCAGTCGCTGGCGTCCGATGGTCAGCACTAGCATTAGCTGCGGTCCCGCAGTCGCTGGCGTCCGATGGTCAGCACTAGCATTAGCTGGGGTCCCGCAGTCGCTGGCGTCCGATGGTCAGCACCAGCATTAGCTGAGGCTCCGTAGCCACTGGCGCCCGATGATCAGCTCCAGTATTAGCTGGGGCTCCGTAGCCACTGGCGCCCGATGGTCAGCTCCAGCATTAGCTGGGGTCCCGCAGTCGCTGGCGTCCGATGGTCAGCACCAGCATTAGCTGAGGCTCCGTATCCACTTGGCGTCCGATGGTTAGCTCCAGCACTAGCTGAGGCTCTGTAGCCGCTGGCGCCCGATGGTCAGCACCAGCACTAGCTGAGGCTCCGTAGCCACTGGCGTCCGGCGGCCGATTCACATTCTTTGGTTAGGTTTATGAAAAACGAGGTTTTCCACGCAGCTGGTACCACTGCCATGCAGTTTAGGATACCGATATATCTGTGGCGAATCGGTGTACATGGTTATTTAACAAGGGGGCGTATCTTAGCACGCGTTCGGGTTGGTGGGTCACTTTGCACCTTATAAAGCCTTTTACAAAATGATTTTCCGAGGGTGCTGCGTGGCCGCGCCAAATTTTTCACAGCTGTAGGCATATAAAACGAGCACTTTTGTATGACATTTGCATCTTCCTTGAAAGGTTTTTGACCTATGGCAGATCAAAGCCGAGCCGTGGCTGTCAACGAAAGCAGTTTCTAGAGATCTGATGTTCAACCTGATGCGACAACGGAGTGTTAGACGAAGCCATGTACCTCTGAGATAGCTTCGTAGGCACTTCAGCAATGGACTTAGGATTATGACAAATTCCATCGACTCAGGGCCAAGTATGAAAGCCAGACCGGGGCCAAACCGATCTGGTTTTCTACTAGGGAGCTTGCTGAATGAGACAGTTTCTGAAGCCATTTAGAATTTCTTGATAATAGCGACCGCAACAGGTATCTTTGTGGACTTTTTGAGGTCATAGTAGGTCACTGACCTGGAATGACCCAGATCGATTCCTTGTTTTTAGAAATGCACGGCCTAGCGTAATCCCTGACGCTTATTCAATTGACAAAATCAAAACAATATGCTAGACTTGGTTGAATAACAAAAATAATAGTACTATGACATTCTCAAGTTGAAACAAGTCGGTGACCTAAAATAAGCATCAATGATATTTTGCTTAAAATAGGTATTCAGGTTCAGGGCGGTTGCGTTAGGAAGTCGGGGCACGTTGGAGACCATTCTTTGGTTTGACCTGGTTTTACCTGATTTGGCCCAAAGGTCATGGCTTATAAACATACAATTTGGACAGTAGTGAATGTTTATACAGATCAACCCATTCCGTGAATTGAGTGTCTAGCTCTCTTGCTTTTTTTTAGATATCAGGGGGCTCAGATTGCCACCCAGCGCCACCCAGGGCGAAGAGTATTCAACCGCCACCAGGGCGTGCGTTAAAGTACGCTAAACGTGTACCACTCCAGAGGATA